AAGCTGGTGCACCGAGACCTGGCTGCCCGCAACATCCTTGTCTCTGAGGACCTGGTGGCCAAGGTTAGCGACTTCGGCCTGGCTAAGGCTGAGCAGAAGGGGCTAGACTCAAGCCGGCTGCCAGTCAAGTGGACAGCACCTGAGGCTCTCAAACATGGGGTGAGCCCCCCTCTGCCCACCCCTGGGGCTTAGGAAGTGAGGAGTCTGACGGAGCAAGCTTGGCACCCCAGTTCTGCTTTGTGACCCTGGGCATGTCCCTTGGCCTCTCAGAATCTGCAAGGAAAATGACTCTGCCTCCCCAGTAAACACTTGGCCCATAATTATTCGTTGTAGCCCCTTTCCGGGCCTCAATTTCCCCATCCATGAAACAGGCTTGGGCTCAACACTGAGACTAGCCAGGCCTCTCCCTGCTTGGGAGGCTGAGCTGGACTAGGCTGTGGGGGTCTGGGAAGAGGAGTCTATTGGGTGGAGACCAGAGAGCAAGGATCAACCCAGGAGGTCTTCCTGGAGGAAGCAGTGGATGAAGCAGAAACTCTGAGGGGGACCCCCTTCACTCTGATCTTGGACCCCACAGAAGTTTACCAGCAAGTCAGATGTCTGGAGTTTTGGGGTGCTACTCTGGGAGGTCTTCTCATATGGACGGGCTCCATACCCCAAGATGGTGAGTGAGGCCGGGGGAGGTGCTAGGCACCTGTGGGTCTAGGGACTGTGGCCCTGTCTCCTCACCCAATGCTGGCATGCCCTCTGTCCACAGTCACTGAAGGAGGTGTCCGAGGCTGTAGAAAAGGGGTATCGCATGGAGCCTCCTGAGGGCTGTCCAGGTCCTGTCCACGCCCTCATGGGCAGCTGCTGGGAAGCAGAGCCTGCCCGCCGGCCACCCTTCCGCAAACTAGCTGAGAAGCTGGCCCGGGAGTTGCGCAGTGCAAACACCTCAGCCCCTGCTGGAGGGCAGGAGGCCGACGGCTCCACTTCACCCCGAAGCCAGGAGCCCTGATGCCACCCGGTGGGGCCATAGGCCCCAGAAGACTGAGCTAGTGGGGAGCACAATGCAAAGGCACAGACTGGGTCTAGGGAGAGTCACAGCCAAAGAGCTGCCCTCTCAGGGCAGGGGCAGGCCCATGTTGGAGGGCTGGGCAGCCCGTGGACACCCCAGACCTGCAAAAGTGAAGGAGTATCATCTCGATAAACACCAGTTCCAAGGACTGTGGATGTCAGTGTCTTTCTGTGACTCCTGTGCCCTCTGACCCATGGTAGGGGGCTTCCCGTTGGTGACCTGCTCTCTGGCATCCCTATGGCATGGGGTATCCTGGGATCCTCCCTTAGAGGTCCACATCCAGATACTCTTGTGTACCCTCCACCTGAGGTGATCTCCCTTCTCTTTAGAGACCACAGTGCCCCACTAAACAGTGATCAATTCATGGGGATCTCACTGATCACCTACTAAGTCTTAGGGACCCACCATCCCCAAACCCCCTACCTCCTACAGTCAGGTAGATTCACACATGGACTTCCCCATTACTGCCCATTGAGGGTCCTCCCAGGTTCACTTGCAGACAGTTCTCTAGGGAACTTCTGGGCAGGGGCCCACTTGCCATTGGCCATGGGCTCCCCACTGCAGTACCAGGATGCAGTTTTCAGTGTTGGGGACCCCACCCCAATCCTGAGGTCCCAAGACCAAGAGATCTGGAGAGACTGCCCAGAGCCCTCAAGGTCTGGGTTTGCTCTTTTACCACACTTCCTTCACAGCCCACAGCCCCTGCCCTGTGGAGAGGGCATTATGGGAGCCCTGGGAGGGTCTTCTGACACAGTGGTAGCCCCATTCAGTGGCCCTGGAGAAGCCACCTTCATTCTCCAGCTGTCTCCCCCATTCAGAGGCTGACCTCCGTATCCAAAGCTTTCAGGTCAAATCCCAACAATGCTACATGAAGTGAGTGCCAAGGTTACACCCATTTCACAAGAACACCCAGACTCAGAGAGGGCAGGTCATGGGCACCAGGTTGCCCTGAGAGGAGATAGAAGAGCCAGGATTTGAACCTGGGCCTGTCTGGGCCTGAGGCCAATCTGCTTCATTCCTTCCTCTGGCAGCTCAGACCTCTCCCACTTCTGTTCCAACTGGAAACTCAAACCCCAGTCACAGGGGTAAGGAGACACATTCCAAGAGAAAGGGAGGCTCCCTCCTGTTCACCATCCATCACCCATCCCTATCTCTCACCCATCCATTCATTACTCCCATTGATCCATCCACCCACCCATCTATCCTCTCATCTTTCCACCCACCCACCCACCAATCCATCCATGCATGTATCCACCCACCCACTCATCCCTCTGTTAACTCAAGAAGCACTTAATTAGCACCTACTGTATGCCAGGTCCTTCCGGGCATTAGGCATCACCACAACCTCTGTGGTGACAGTTCATAGGTGACACTGCCCTTGGACAAAGGCAGGCCAATGTCCAAGATGTCCAGAGGCCTAGTAGCCTGACTCAGTGATTGTGGGGGACAGAATTGCTGAGAAACACTGGAAGTACTGGTGAGGTGTCCTGGCCCTTCTGTGGCCCTGAACATCCCAGGTCAGCCCTGACTTGACCCTAACTATGTGTCTCTAGTCCCAGGGTCACCAACCATCCAGTTTGCTTAGGACGGAGGGCTTTTCCAGGGTGAAGGGCTTTAGTGCTAGAATCAGAAAAGTCCTGGGAGACTGAGGTGAGCTGTTCCCCTCCTGGACAAGCTGCTCCCCCTTAGGCCACTGCAGCCTCCTTCATGGAAAAGGCACTTTTGTCCAGAGAGGCATGAGGACCCTTAGGGCTCTCTCCAGTGAAGGGCTGGACACTCCAGGGCAGACCTACAGCTGGTGCTGTTATTGCTATGACTGCCCATCACCTGCTCTCTTGATTTTCCCACCCAGACAGCCCTGGGGATATTTGGGCTACGAGGCAGGATGTCTCTGGCCCAGCTGGATGTGGCCCCCACCCCAAGACCCCTGAGCTGGGAGGGGCCGTCAGATAGACCCCACCCTACTCTCACACTCAGCTGACCCACCTCTGCTCAAGCAGAGCCTGAAGCAGACATCCAAGGTCATGCTGACTTCCTGCATGCCCCCCTAAAGCACCACCCACCCTCTGGCATGGTTTCCCCACCAGCACCAGAAAAGGTTTAGTGGTTCTTTCTGGGAGGAAACTGAAGGGTGGGGGCTAGAAGGACTCAGGGTGGCCTGGCACCTGCCTGATCCACTGGATGGTGGGGACTAGGCAGGGAGTGCTTGTCCCTTTGGCCCTGCACTCCTAATCCGGTCCTCTAAGCTGACACAGCGTCTGGAGCTTTAGTCCATCCTTCTAAGTCGCCTAAAGCCCCCCTGTACCTCATGCCTCCATCCCTCCTGTGCCTCTTAACCCACTGGGGCCAATTAGTTAATTGGGGCCTGAGACTAGAAGCAGCTCGTTAGCGTTTTAAAGTGATGAAGCAATTAGGGGAATTATCTCTCCCTATCCTGCACCCTGGCCCATAGCCCGGTTACCCACCTTACCCACAAGTTAGCGCTCCAGCTGTCCTTCTGGCCTGAACTTGAGCGTCTAGGTCCTCCTTGCCTAGCTTGCCCCCTTTGGCCCTAAACCCCCTGCCCACTGACCTTGGCCCTACTTGCCCCTGCAATCAGACATGGGCTTCCCCAGAACTTGCTTTGCCTTTCAGGACACTCTCTGAAGTAATCCACTTGTCCTGTGATGGGCTTAGGAGTCTCTACACTCTGTCTTTTGACCCACCACGGGTCTCTCCTGCCCACATGCCAGTCTCAGCCCCCTCCTGGCCTCCCACCTTGCCCATGACAGGTTTGTGTCCAAAATACCACCGACTGGGACCCACACACCCTCTCCCATGGCTCCCCAGTACCCTCTGCTTCATCCCCAGTCATGTACAGAATCTGTAGCCTTGTATCCTGCCTGCTTTTCTGACCATCTTCCTTAAAACAGCATCTATGCCCCGTGTCCTCTCCCTGCCTTGCTGTGTCCCTCACTGGCCCCCTGTTGCATATTCACGCAATTGAAAGATAGCTCCATGACTCTGTTTTGCTCACTGCTACTGTGAGCAGCACTTGGTGCACAGTAAGTACTCAATGAAGATTTATTGAACAAATAGTGAACTTCTACTCATATCTCAAGACCCAGAGAAAATGTCCCTAACCCTTGCCCTGGCTGGTGTCTAGAGGAGCCATCTGGAGTGGTCCTTCTCTCTTGGGACCTCACCTACCCAACCCCTCTGACATCCAAGAGTCCTAAGACAGCCTTTTTCGGGCCCTAGCTGATAAAAATAATCACAGCAGACATGCAATGCTCACTGCATGGCAGTCATGGTACACAACGCTCCAGACTTTTATCACATCACTGAGAAACCATGAGGTCCCCCCCTAAGGTAGGTCCTAGTGGCCATTTTACAGCCAGGGAAACTGAGGTCCAGAGAGGGGGGAGGCCCTTGGTATCTTACTGCAGGGGTTGATGGAGCCAGGCCCGGAGCCCCCGTCTTCCCTGGGTGGCTCAGAACAACCAGTGCCTAAGTGGGAGGGGCACCTCCATTAATCATCCTGCACTAATCCTCCCCTACTCGACCCTGAGCAGCTCAGCACAGGCCACAGGCCACAGCAGATGGGGTGCTGGCCACTGGGGTGGAAGCCCGTGGACACTAACCAAGGGGCTGCAGTGAGTGTGAGCTGTAGGGGACAGCAACCCCCTGAGGGGTGGAGACATTTGTGGGGTCTTCCTGGGGTGGGGGTCCTTGACACGCATACAGAGATAAAGACAGGGACAGCAACAGAGATAGAGAGAGAAAGAGAAAATCAGGACAGGAAATAAGGAGAGAGAAGGAAGAAGAGACACAAAGACCAAGTGGCAAGCAACTCAGGTCAGGGAGAGCACTCAGGGAAGCAGAATGAATGCAGGTCCCAAGGGAGGAAGGATTTTCCTGCCCTCCCCCAGATGGCAGTCCCTGTGACTATCTCACTACCATCTGTCCTATTGCTGCCTAGCTAGGTAAGAAGCCATGTTCCTGAACCCAGGAGAGGGGCTGGCACCAGAGGGAGGAGGGCTGGGGCCAGGCGACGAGGCCCCCAAGAAGAAGCACCGGAGGAACCGTACCACCTTCACCACCTACCAGCTACATCAGCTGGAGCGGGCATTTGAGGCCTCCCACTACCCAGACGTGTACAGCCGTGAGGAGCTGGCAGCCAAGGTGCACCTGCCTGAGGTGCGTGTACAGGTGAGAATACCCCCAGCTCCTCACAGCCTGGGGAGAGAAGTGAAGCCAGATATTGACTCTTCCAATGTACAGGCAGAAGGGAAACTGGGAAGGCTTCCTGTTAGACCATCTGGGCTGGAAGGGGGCATGTGGGAGCTGAGGCTTTGACATTTGGGTAGGAGTTTATCAGTTGGTAGGCAAAGAGTATTTTTCCAGAATCCACAACAGCATGTGCAAAGATATGTAGGGGATAAGTTGGGGATGCTTCAAAGGAATGAGGTGCCAGCAGTGAGGGAGGCAGAGAATAGAGCAGATAATAGCTTGTGAAGACCTCAAATGCTGAGCTGAGCAGCTCAGGTCTTGTGCTGACAGCAGCAGAGGGAGACCAGGAAGGGTAACTAGGAGTCTAGGGGGCTGGACAAAGAACAATGAGGAGAGAGTGAATTCTGAAAAGACTTTGGGGCTGACTTGATGGGGCCACCAGGCAGGAGGACCTCCCCTCTTGGGGTAAAAAGCAAAGCACATTAGCACTGCAGCATGTAAGAGTAAGGTCAGACAGCAGGCAGGACTCCTGGAGGCTGGGAAACCCCAGGGGCTCCATGCTGAGCTCACAGAACCTCCCTGCACCCCCCAGGTATGGTTCCAGAACCGCAGGGCCAAGTGGCGTCGCCAGGAGCGTCTGGAGTCAGGCTCGGGAGCTGTGGTGGCCCCGAGGCTGCCTGAGGCCTCAGCATTGCCATTTGCTCGCCCCCCAACCATGCCGCTGCCTCTGGAGCCCTGGCTGGGCCCAGGGCCCCCAGCTGTGCCAGGTCTCCCCCGGCTCCTAAGCCCAGGCCCAGGGCTGCAGGCGTCCTTTGGTCCCCACACCTTCAGCCCAACCTTCACTGATGGCTTCACGTTGGAGGAGGCATCCCTACGGCTGTTAGCCAAGGAGCATGCACAGGCTCTAGACAGGGCATGGCCGCCAACCTGAGCCAGGCACTTGCGAGCAACCCTGGTCCTGACCCGAGGGCTGGCACATACCCTGGTGACAGCAGCCAGAGCTTTGGTCTGGGTGAGGTCATGGGGCAACCCAGCTGTCAGGCTAGGTCACCGTCAAGACCCAAGACAGTCTGTTGGAGTCCTGCAGCCCTCCTCCCCCCACCCCACTCCACCCTGCAGGGAGACTGGCATCCAGCGCCAGCCAGGCGGCTAAAGGACTCTCAGGCTGGAGTCTCAGCCTCCCCTCTTTGAGTAGACGTAGGTGGTGACTGCAAGATCCCTGGGCTGTACAGTTGCCCCAGAGCCCTGGGTAGTGGTTCAGTAAGGCCATCCGTCTTGATGCCCTTGCCCATTCACAGCCCCCTGAGGCAGAGCCTCTCCCTTCCCAGGTGTGACAAGTAGCAGCAATAGTGGCTCCTGCTCAGCCTGGCACCTCTCTCTGCTTGCCCACTGAGCTCCAAGCCAGGGATGGGCAGCAGGCAGCTCCCAGGCAGACACGGGCTAATGCAGGGCATGTGCAGGCTGCCCTTGCCCCTTCCTTACTCTATCTGCTGAGCCAAGGCAAGCTGGTGTATACTCTGTCTATCCCAGTCCATCTCCCAGGGCTCACCCAGATTAAGTCACAGAGGCTGCTGTGGGATTAGGAACCAGGTGTGACCAGAGTCTGTAGGTGACCCATGATAACTCAAGGGGGCCTCACCCGGGGTGGATAGGTCAGCCTGGGCTAGAGTGATCCCCAGGGCAGGAGCCACAGATACCCACACTTGGGTCAAATCACCAGCTCAACCCTGTGCTTAGGTGGCACTTCATACATGAGCCTGGTGGCTCCGCATCCTCTGTATATTGGCAGCATGGCCAACCCAGCTACCCACCCTGTATCACCCTGTACCAGGCCCTGGGAATATGGTAGTGAAGGAGAAGAAAAAATAGGAAGGGAAGATCAGGAGTGTAGCAGATGTGATTTTAATAGGATGAACAGGTAGTCCTCAAGGAGAAGGTGGCATTAGAGCAGAGACCCGAAGGAGATGAGAGAAGAATGATACAGGTAGACGGCACAGCCCCTGCAAAAGGCCCTGGGGTAGGACCATGCCTAGTGTGGAGGTACAGCAATGAGGCCCTTGGCTGTAGCAGAAGGAAGAGAGAGAGAGAAGGAGGGGAGAGAAGGAGGGGAGAGCAGGTGTATAGTAGCCATTATAACTTTGGTTTTTACCCTGAGAGCTGTGGGGAACCACAGGAAGGAGGCAGCGGGCAGCATGGCCTTTAGGGAACAACAGAGAAAACATGCTCACACCCTCCACCTGCCCAGGGCGGGCAAGTACGTAATAATCTGCTGCACAGAGTCCCTCTAAGAGGATGAGTTTCCTTGGGACAGGGCAGAATTAGTCTTGGAGTCTGAATGTCATTTTAGTTCTTGGAGACCCAGACTCTTTTCTGATTCTGATGGCTTTGGACCTGAATCCATGGCAACCGAGAAAGGTTTAGCTAGGACCACTCCCCTTCTTTGAGTAGATGTGGGTGGTGACTGCAAGATCCCTGGGCTGTAAGTTGCCCCAGAGGCTTTCAGTGAGAGCCCCCCAGGCAGAGTGAAGGAACTCCAGGACCCAGGGAGAAAAGCCTACTGAGAACCCAAGGGGATGCGGACACCTTAGTCTGAGGAGCCACCTCCCTGCAGGCCCAATATTAGGCAGTATCCAGCATCCAGCCTTACTGGGAGTGGGAGGGAGACACACAGAAACCTCAAGTACGTTTTTTCCAGAAAAGCAAAAAGTCCTCGGTGGTGGGGGTAGGATACTGTGTCCCACTGGGCCCTCCTTCAGGGTGCTCTGGCCTGTCCCTGCTAGAACTTCTTGTTCTTACTCAGGCGATTGTGGCGCCAGATGTTTTGTTTTCGCAGCAGCCGCCAATACTCCCGTGTCTCAGGATCCAGCTCCTCTAGCTTTTTGGGGGGCCCCAGGTTCATCTGGAATAACCTGAGGGACACAGACAGGAAATCAGGACTCCTTGAGCTCCACTAATGGCAGCAGGGCTGGGTCCAAGTCACACTCAGAGGCTGCATGATCTTGGGGCCAGGATCAATAATGGAACAGTGAGCCACCCATCCCTGTAGCACTAGTATCTTATCTGAGGTGGGTACGCACCAAGCTTCTTCCTGCCTCCTGCCACTGTCCACGCTATACAGTCTGCCCACTCACTCACTCAAGTCTTCCTGAGTCTTCCCCAGCTTCAGTGGATCAGCACATGCCAATAGTTCCCACACCTTGTCATTGCTATTGGGGCGTAGGCAAAATCCTCTCTGCAGTCTACCAGACTCTACACCAATGGTCCCTTCCCCCTCCCTGCCCTCCTCTCTTCCCTGCTCCAGCCACACAGGCCTCCTCACAGTTTCTCCAACAGGCCAGGTGAGGTCTTGCCTCTTGGCCTTTGTATAGGTTATGCCTTCTCTTTGAAGCTTCTTCCAGCCACTGCATCCCCTCCTTAGGGAACCCCCTCTCCAAAAACCTCAGATTTGACCAGCAAAGCCCCCAACCCTGTCGCTTACTCTCCTGCCCCTTTTCCCAGGACTGTCACCACCATATCTGCCTCATTATCTGCTCACTGTCTGCCTCCCCAACTAGCTCCAGCAGGGTAGGGATCTTTGCCTGTTGTGTGCCCTTTTGTACCCCCAAAGCCTAGAACAGGGCCTGGCATTCAGCCAGCACTCAATAAATGTTTGTTTAAACAAAAAAAAGGCATCATTTTAGGCACTTCACATATGTTCCGATCTCATGAATTCCCCACAACCCTGAGGGAGGGATGGTCTCAATCACCCCCACTGACAGATGGGACAACTGAGGCAGTGGTAAAGCCCCCTGCCCTGAAGCCAGGTATTAGCTGGCAGGTGTCATCATCAGATGGTTGGAATGGTGATCCACCTCTCCCAGAATGCATACCCAACCTTCCCCTGGGACAGAAGAAGAGATGACAATTGGACAGCCAGGCCCACTCACCACTCGGGGTATTCTGCGTCTGGCTTCAGGGCCACATCTTGGCCTTCCTTGTAGATGTTGACGCCCATTGCATACGAGGTGAGCCGGACAGGGTCCGTGCACACATCAGGGTCCTTCAGGCTCTCACTGGCTACACCACCTTTACCCCCTCTGCCTCCTTTCATGACTGGGAGGAAGAAAAAGATAGTTGTTTCAACCTAGCTCCACCCTGAGAAAGCCAGACTTCCCTTCCCACACCACACTCTCTTTGGGTGGCCTTGAGCCCTGGCTAGACATGCATGGATGCAACTTTAAATAACACTGATTCGGGTTTGGCACCTGTGGCTCAAGTGGCTAAGGTGCCAGCCACATACACCTAAGGTGGCGGGTTCAAATCCAGCCTGCGCCCACCAAACAACAATGACAGCTGCAACCAAAAAATAGCCGGACGTTGTGGCGGGCACCTGTGGTCCCAGCTACTTGGGAGGCTGAGGCAGGAGACTCACTTGAGCCCAAAAGTTGGAGGTTGCTGTGAGCTATGATGCCACAGCACTCTACCCAGGGTGACAGCTTGAGGCTCTGTCTCAAAATAAATAAATAAATAAATAAATAAAAATAAATAACACTGATTCTGGCTCGGCACCCATAGCTCAGTGGTGAGGGCGTCAGCCACATGCACTGAAGCTGGTGGGTTCGAACCAGCCAGGGCTAAACAACAGTGACAACAACAACAAAAGAATAGCCCAGTGTTGTGATGGGCGCCTGTAGATCCAGCTCCTTGGGAGGCTGAGGCAAAAGAATTGCTTATACCCAAGAGTTTGAGGTTGCTGTGAGCTGTGACGCCACAGCACTCTACCCAGGGTAACACAGTGAGACTCTATCTCAAAACAAAACAGGGTGGCATCTGTGGTTCAGTGGGTAGGGTGCTGGCCCCATATACCGAGGGTGGCAGGTTTGAACCTGGCCCCAGACAAACTGCAACAAAAAATAGCTGGGCATTGTGGCAGAGCCTGTAGTCCCAGCTACTCAGGAGGTTGAGGCAAGAGAACTCCTAAGCCCAGGAGTAGTTGGGGGCTGTTGTGAGCTGTGATACCATAGCACTCTACTTAGGGTAATAAAGTGCTAAAAGCAAGCAAGCAAAGAAACACTGATGCTCAGAGTGACCAAATCATTTTGCTTTTATTTTTTTGCTCCCTATATTAATGAGTATTCTTTTTAGATTATATTTTGGGGCCAGGCACAGTAGCTCACGCCTGTAATCCTAGCACTCTGGGAGGCTGAGGCAGGTAGATTGCTTGAGCTCATGAGTTCCAGAAAAGCCTGAGCAAAAGCCAGACCCCGTCTACTAAAAATAGAAAAACTGAGGCAAAGGATCGCTTGAGCCCAAGAGTTGGAGTTGGTGTGAGCCATGGCACTACGGCACTCTACTCAGGGCGAGAGCTTGAGACTCTGTCTCAAAAACAAACAAAAAAAATTATATTTTGGGCTTGGCACCTATAGCTGAGCATCTAGGGCACCAGCCACATACACCGGAGCTGGCAGGTTCAAGCCCAGCCCCGGCCTGCTGAACAACTATAACCAAAAAATGGCCGGGCATTGTGGCGGGCACCTGTGGTCCCAGTTACTTGGGAGGCTGAGGCAAGAGAATAGCTTAAGCCCAAGAGTTCAAAGTTGCTGTAAGTTGTGACGCCACAGCACTCTACCGAGGGCAACAAAGTTAAGACTGTCTCAAAAAATAAATTTTTTTTTTATTTTGGTTCCTTCTGTTTATCTCATGGAGAACATCTCCAATGGCTGCTATGTGTCTGTCTTAAGGCCTAACATTTGCCAATTTCCTCTCTTCAGCAAAGGAGATCAAGCAAGGCTGTATCCAGCAAAATTTAACACCTTATTTTGATCTTAGGTGGTGAAGACTTAGATGGGTCCCATATTACTTTGAATTTCTGGGGATGGTTTGCCCAAAGTCACATAGTGATTTTTAAGCAGAAACTGGATTGGAACGCAAGGTCAAGTTCACGACCTCTCCCTTCTCCCCTAACTCCAGCCTTACCAACCCGCGCCTACGTAGTGAAACGCGTTTGCTCCTCAGAACCCACAGCCTCATCACTTGCCCCGCGGCATCAAGCAGACGCCTGCTAACTGGGTCTAATTGCTCCCTAATGTATCTCTAGGCAATGCCAGGTCCCTCACACTGCGCCTGCGTATAGAGCCTAGCCACGTCCTCTCTGCTCTTGAGCAAGAGTCCTAAACCCCACCTTCCCAACCGGCGCCTGCGCACTACCAATTCCCCGCGTACCCACAGTCCCCATCTTGGTTCCTCTTAGTCCAGCTCACCTGGTTTCTTGGCATAATCTCGGATCAGGAGTTTTCCAGGAGCGGCAGGGCCTAGAAGCGTCCGAGCCCCCCAGCCGGCCCACGTGCAGGTAGCACCGAAGAGGCGCCTGGCAGCCATGACGGGTTGCCTGCTGCTTGCATGTGCACGCTTCCGGGAGATGTCAGCGGCCCAGGGGGTGCTTGGGAGTTGCGTGTCCCAGAGATTTCTGGGAAATGTAGTCTTCCCAGTGGGCATCTACTTACTGTGACTTTATTTTAGACTTTTGCAGACATACTCAGTTACGGTATGAGGAGCGTTCAAAGGTATTTCACTGACGTATTGCCCTTCTTCACTTACGTAACATTTACTTAAAATATCACACTTTATGTTTCTGATTCCATCAATGAGCAATTCTTGAAAGCCTAAAAGAAAAACATTAGACTCTTAATGTATTCCAACCCTGTTGCTAAATCCTTAACCAGCTTGATCCCATTTAATACTCACAATTAGGTGGTAGATACTTTTTTTTCTTTTTTTGAGACAGAGCCTCATGCTCTCGCACTAGGTAGAGTGCCATGGCATCACAGCTCACAGCAACCTCCAACTCCTGGGCCAAGCTATTCTCTTGCCTCAGCCTCCCAAGTAGCTGGGACTACAGGCGCCCGCCACAACGCCCGGCTATTTGTTGTTGTTGTCATTGTTGTTTGGCAGGCCTGGGCTGGATTCAAAACCGCCAGCTCTGGTGTATGTGGCTGGCGCCTTAGCCGCTTAAGGTACAGGCGCCGAGCCAGGAGGTAGATACTACTTTATCGCCAGTTAATAAGTGAGGGAACTGAGGCTCAGGGAGGTAAAGATTCTAGGCAAATCCCAAATCTTACGGGGAGCGCCATTGTCTCCCTGCCGTGAGCCAAACAGGAAATCTGTCTTCAACAGGGTCTCCATGCTGCTTCCGGTGACCCAAAGTCTCACAGAAAACACTTCTCTTTTAAGATTTCCAGCTCCACTTCTTCCCATCTGCCATCCCTTAGAATAATTATCACAACCATAGGAGGCAAGCAGTGATTGTTAACCCTATTTCCCAGTAGAGAAAACAGGTTCAGGGACCAGCCCGAGCTCACACACTGCCTGCAGCAAGGACTGGAATACTAACTTCGGGTCCATTACGCGGTGTAGCGGGGCTAGATGATCTGACTACATTTCCCAGCAGGCCTCGCGAGGCCGCGCATGCCCAATGAGCCAAGCGCTCCGCGGATAGATGGGCCGGCGCCCCGGCAGAGAATCCGGGAGCTGCGGCTGCTAGGATAGCGGCCGGAATATGCTGGGGCTGTCTTGGGTGCTGCGCGGGGTTGAGATAGCCTCAGTGTAGGAAGTGAGTGTCCCGACAGGGCAGGGCGGGGGTTGGGGTTGGCGCTTGAGGTTTAGGGTCCGACTGCGGGCTGGGGTCGGGTCTATAGGTTAGGTTCTGAAGTCGGGGTCTGAGTCTGCGGTCGGTCTTATGACATTGAAGGTTTGGAGACTGGAGTTTGCTTCGTGGTGTCTTGGACCTTTAGTTTTACATATGGGGTCCTTGGTCTGAACTTTAAACTCTAAAGTCTTGTTTTGGGGTCTTGAGTTATTAGGTTTGGTGGTCACAGGACCTGCCTCTGATCAAAATGTAGGATCAGGATGTGAGCAGGACTGTCTCTCCAGACTTGAGTTTCACGTCGCAGGGTAGGAGGACTTGGATTATCGGGGCTAGAGTGAACAGAGTCCACGAGTTGGGAGAGGAGAGGTCTTGAGTGACTCCTGATCACTAGAGTCTAGGAAGCCCCTATCCCATTCTCTGGAGTTTCCTTATCTGCAAAGTGGGGATCCTAACTTCCTTGCAGGGTACAATGGAAGTTAAGTCATGTGTTCTCTATCAACAGTGCCCAAGTAGGAAGCCTTAACTTTGGATCTCTCTCACCCACATGAAGATGCCAGCTTGAGTTTAGAGTCCAGGCATGGAATTCCTCACAATGCCTCGATCACCATCAGGGTCTCCAGCCATGGACTTGGAGGAGCCCAGGGACATTCTTGTGCCCTCTGAGGACCTCACCTCCGACAGCCCATGGGACCCAGTGCCTGGAGGCCCCAGCAGCCTGAGTCAAATGGAACTAGATGAATCGAGTGTACAGGACCTGGTCCAACAATTTGAAGCTCTGCCAGGTGATCTGGTGAGCCTGTCCCCAGATGGAACCCCCTGCCCTCTACACATTGCCACTGGCCATGGCTTGGCCTCCCAGGATGTCACTGATGCCCATGGGCTCTTGTCTGCCGAGGTTGACCGGGAAGACTTGCTGAGTCTTTTGCACTCTGAGGAATGTTCACCTTCTCATCCTGGTCCTCAAGAGCCTCCAGAGCCAGCCCCTCGCCTCTTGCAGCCCCCTGAGGACCCAGATAAGGATCCTGGCTCCCTGGAATGGGCAGAGAGAGCCTCTGCTGAGCGGAGGGGCAGTGGTAGCTCAAGCAGCTCCCCAGAACCCTGGCTGGAGACAGCACCTCTGGTTACACCTGAAGAGCCTGCTGCCACCACCAGTGCCCAGGTAGTGCCTGTCCCACCCTCCAGGTGTCCTCAACTGCCTGGAACCAAGCAGGGCAACTCAGTCCTGCCCCTCTGTCTTCTTCCAGAGCCCCAAGACCTTGACTTCATACCCTGCCCTCCAGGAGGGTGAGTGTTCCTACCACTCTGGCCCCAGGGACTTAGGGGTTGCAAAACAAGCAGTATTGGTTTCCCCAAATCTGGGGACAGTTTGCTAGTAAGGACAAGGTGCTCTGGAACTCTGAGGATGGTTTTGAGCAGATTCCAGGTGGCCAGGGAGAGGAAAAACAGTTTGAGAATGTAGCATGGGGGGCAGGTGCTAGAGTGGCTTTGGCCATTTGTGGCGCTCAGGTCTAGAACAAGGATTGCAAATCACCCTCTGCCAGCCAGATCTAGCCTGCTGCCTGTTCTCATAGGGTTCCTAAGCTAAGGATGGCTTTTGCTTGTTTAAATGATTGAAAAACATACCGAGGCTCTGCGCCTATCGTTCAAGCAGCTGAAGCGCCAGCTACATACACCAGAGGTGGCGGGTTCAAGCCCAGCCCAGGCCTGCCAAACAACGACAAATACAACCAAAAAATAGCCGGGCGTTGTGGCAGGCGCCTGTAGTCTCACCTACTTGGGAGGCTAAGGCAAGAGAATTGCTTAAGCCCAGGAGTTGGAGGTTGCTGTGAGCTGTGATG